GCTCCCTGGGAGGGATAACTATGTGAGTCCTCGTCGCCACCACTTTCCTCTAAGGGCGTTTTCAATCTTCTTTCGAAGAGGTTGGGGAGGGAAGGGGGAGCAGGCCTAGGAGGCTAGGTGGGTCAAAGGCCAACCTAACCAAGCACAAAAGTAGGTAGAATGCTGGGAGGCCGCAGTGTCCCGACAGCACCAGCTGTGCCCTCAGTGTCTCCCAACACAAGGCAGACAGAGAGAGCAGCAGCAGCAGCTTCGCAATCAGACAGACTTTGGTTCAAATCCTGGCCTTTGCCAATCCCTAGCTGTGTGACTGTCATCAAAGTACCTAAACTGTGTATTTCATTATCTGTAAAATGAGAGTAATACCTACCACGCAAGATCCCTGTAAGGATTAAGTGATACCATTCATGTTAAGTATTTACCACAGTTACTGGCACATACAAGTTCACAGTAAAAGGCAACTCCCCAGAACCAGATAAGACCTGGATCATCCTTTATGAATATTGGAGAGATTTATAGAATGAATCATGATTCTTCTTGCTAGAGTCTCTATGTTGCCAACCCAAGGAACTTTGGGAAATTAACAGCTAAACTAAGGTTCTTTGCTCTATCTTGTTGTGTGTGTGTGTGTGTGTTTGTATGTGTATGTGAGAGAGAGTGAGAAACAGGGAGACAGAAAGAGGGAGACAAAAAGAGAGAGAGACAGAGAGCTGTATACCAAGCATGACACAGGAGATTATAAAAAAACAAACATGCTTTGCCTTGCGGTGCCGTGAGAACTAATATCAATTGTTAACTTGAGTGCATTAGAAGAACTTCTCTCTATTTCTTTATCTTGGCTTTAGAATAAATATTTGATAAAACCAGGGCAATTTTCTTAGTAACTTTTCTTGGGCCTTTTAAAACAAATGTATATAAGCATTTTTAAATCTATCAAACATGTATTCAGAACATTTTCCAACATTAAAAAGAAAAAAGATCAGTTTTGTTCAGATACTTTAGGTTCTGGAAATAAGCTATTTCCTGTCCACTTTGACACAAAAACATTCCTTTTAGCTTTTTAAGAATACAGTCCCTTGTTGAGATGTTGGCTTCCTGGTTTAGGGCCTGAATTCTTATCATTTCTAAACTCTTAATTTTTATTCAACACTTAGAATTCAAGCAAAATGACAGTGAGGGAGTTTGTAAAATATGAAACTCCTGGATGAAAAGAAAAAATCGATTGTTTCCAAGATTATAATAACAATAATAATTAAAACCAAACTGAAGATTTATTCTGTGCCAGGCACTATTCCAAACGCTTTACATTGTAAATTCATTTAATCCTCATGATAATTTTTTAGGGGAAGATACTATTCTCCTTCACATTTTAGGACACACTGAGGTGTGCAGGGGTTAGTTAACTTGCACAACATCGTGCAGTTAGTAAGTATATTCCACAGTCTGAATATATTGCCTTCTACAAATAGAATAGTAAATTTTGTTTCTCATGGAAAAGGAAAATGAGGCTTAGAGGGGCCCAGAGATTTGCCCATGGTACATAGCTAGTGAGGGCAGAGGAAGGACTCAAACTTAGGAAAATCTGAATCCAAAGCTTGGAGTCCTTATATATACACTTTACAACTGTTTTTCAATATTCAGACAAACCATCAGAACAATTTACATAAACATTTCATCAAACATTCCTTCTCATAGAGTTCGAAAGGACATTAGAAGTTCACTTGTCTAACCATCCACCCAATGTACACATCATTTTCTAGAACAGACTTGACCAATGGTTACCCAGCTTCTGCTTTCTCCATCCATCCCCCAGGAACACAGATGGTCCATTACTGAATCACCCTGCTGGTTGGAAGTTTTCTTATACTGAGCTGCTGTGCTGTGACCTAATTTTATGTGTTTCATAATTTGTGGAGTCCTTTGGTACTGAGCTGGCACTACATTGAATCATGTATCTTTAGGAAAATAGAGTTAGAAGTTGCTATACAATGGTGTCCCACAGCTAACCAATCATGAAGCTTGGAACCCTTAGGTAAAAGATGTCCTGGTCACCCTTGGCATATTGTACAGACATGAACTCATCTCACTTCTAAGCACACAGGCAGCATCTGAGCAGAACCAAAGCCCTTGGTTGAACTCTAGTCCAGCAGACATTGTATTAATAGGCAAAAAAAGAAATTTGGGACTAGATTTGGGTTTGGAATTTAGAGACTTTTGCTGGAATTAGAAACAATTCTAATCACATGAATTCAAATCAAATACAAAGAGATTCTCAAGTTGGAAGAACCTAATATATTTACAAGTGTTTATGTGTGTGTGTTTTTAATGAGCATTTACTGGGTAGTTATTTGAGAAACAGTGTAGCTCCATAAAAAGCCACAGGTTTTGCAGTTAGGCAGCCTTGGGCACAGATCCCAGCTTTGTCATTTTTGAGCTAGGTAAGCTGGGTAATTAATAACCTCTCTAAGACTTGGTTTTCTGATCTATAAATAGGAGCAATAATACATATTATAGGTAATAATGGGACCACTGTGATGGTTAAGAGGTATAATGTGTATAAAGTATGTAGCATACTCACTGGCACATAGTTAGCACTCAGTCCATGGTAGTTATTATTACAGTGGCTATTCATTCACTTACTCAAAAAGTAAAATTTATTGAGTTCCATATAGTAGAAGTATACATCCAAGCTTCATGCCCTAGGCACTGAAGGTACAGTACTAAAAAGATAGAGACAGCCCCTGACTTCCCAGAACTTGCAGTCTAGCTGGGAAAACAGATACTAAACAAGTAATAAAAATGAAGAATGAGTTATTAGAGGGGAAGCATAGCAAAGTATGGGGATGCAAAACTTTGTCTGAGGGTTAGGGAAGGGGTCCCTGAAGAAGATTATGAGCCCTGAGGGAAAAGTCGCAACAGACAGATGGGGGGTGGAGATGGGTGGACAGCATGTCCCAGGCAAGGGAACACATGGTACACACAAGGCCAAGAAGTGAGAGAGCAGGAATGCGTGGGGAAGCAATGATCAGTAAAGTCCCAGAGAGATTGACAGACAGGTGGGAGCAGACTGAGACCAAATTGTGAAGGACCTTGTATAAGCCACATTAAAGAGTTTGTTTTGGTTTTATCCTAACATCAATGGAAGCCTTTGAAAGCTTTTATTGGGATGGCGGTGGGGGGGGTGGGGGGCGGGCAACATAATCATATTCGGCTTTAGCATAATAAAGATGAGCAAGATTTCGTCCTTGGTATGGAGACAGTTATAATCTCATGGTGAAAGAGGTTCAAGGGGAGGAAAGGAGTCACAGTTAAAGAAGGTCCAGGAAGAAAAATGCTCTTAGGTACAAAGTTCTAGGTGAGGTTTTTTTTGTTTTTTTTTTTAAGATTGGCGCCTGAGCTAGCAACTGTTGCCAATCTTTTTTTTTTTCTGCTTTTTCTCCCCAAAGCCCCCCAGTACATAGTTGTATATATTTTAGTTGTGGGTCCTTCTAGTTGTGGCATGTGGGACGCCGCCTCAACGTGGCCTGATGAGCAGTGCCATGACCGCACCCAGGTTCTGAACCAGCAAAACCCTGGGCTGCCGAGGCAGAGTGCGCGAACTCAACCACTCGGCCACGCGGCGGCCTCTCTAGGTGAGATTTTTAAAACAGGGAGCAACCCCATCTAGCTGCTATGGCGTTTGAGACAGATCTTAAAATGGACACCCTTTGCGTTAGGAGAGCGGATGGTGGCGAGGGCACTCGCCTTCTTGGATACTCCAAGAAATAAGATCAGTGGCCATCCTCTTAAGGTGTCCCCAGCTTGTGTCAACTGGTTCTACATTTCCCTTCGTCCCACCATTCATATTTCAGAGCCCCTTTGAGAGAAAACTCTGCCACCCTTATGCAGCCCCTTTAACCCATGTTCTGCAAATTTCAAATTATTACCACGTGTTAGACCCTCCTCTGTTCTTCCGAGGTTGTTTCCAGCTGGATGTCTATGTCAGCTTAGAGCTTTGCAGAGCGCTTGCTATACACCCCCTCCAGCTGTGAACTTTTTACCTGTGCTTCACTGCAGTGTCTACATGATTATTGAGAAGTTAAAACAGTACAGGAAATACTACATCATCCCACTGGCATTACCAGTTAAATCGCCGAGTGTCTGGGCCTTATGAGGTTGAGCCATTTATTATAAATGCCACATCACAGTTGCAGCAACTTTCTGTTTCCTTTGAGTCATTCTATGTAACACACACCAAGGCAGAAAAGTACCCTGCTCCAACCCCTCCCGAACTTTTTATTTACTTTATCTTAATTGATTAACTATATGAAAAGAATGTCAAATCAGGAGAATTTTTTTAATACGATTACTAAAATAGTCATTTTCCTTTTAAGTAAACTTTTTCCTTTAAACATTGCCAAAACTTTTCTCTCACAACGTGATGGTTTCCTTTTTGTTATGAGACTTAGATTCAGTGAAGTCCTGTGCTGAATAGAGCTTTCACATTAAACATCTGATTCACCTTACTTGGAACATGGCAGGTTTTCAGTAAGCGTGTCTCACCCTGCTTTAAAGAGCCCTCTGTTCCCAGGGGTTAAATAACTGGTCAGGTTACACTTTAGATTTGTTGTTTTCAGTTAGAGTTATTGTTACTATGGGCGATCGGTTAGTCAATCAGAAAGTGTCCTTTGTGTGTAATTATGAAGCTGTGCTGCTCCTAAGCAACAGGAACCCCAGATAAAGTGAAAAGCAAAGGCTTTTGCTCATTGAGAATTACTAGAAAAAGGAGAGGGAAGTGGATTTTTCTTCATTTTCTTACACTTATATATATGGGGTATATTTTTATTGAGCAATGTTAATTTGATATTTCTTCCTAACACAGAGAAAAATTAGGAAATGGGGAAAAAGGAAGAGCAGGAAGAGAAGGAAAAACAGAGAAAGGAAGGAAAGAAGGGAAGTTTTGTTTGAAATGTAAATTACCTGAAAATATTTCTTTTGAAATTCTGAATTACAAGTTTTTATACCTTTCATCTGTAAAGAAAGTGGCTTGTCTTTAGGATTTGTGGATTCTCTATTCTTTATTCATGCCATGACATCCAGATGTCAAAACTGGTAGTAGACACCTGTATTCCAAGAAAACAAATCTGGTTTCAGTTTTTTTGCTGCATTTGAACAACTGATGCACTTAGCAGGAAACTACATTTATCTTTTCAAACTTGCTTTCCACTTTTACATTTTCCTCTTCTGATGACATTGTTCAGAAAGAGGGACGTGTGTTAAATGGCTTTGCTGAGTCCAGCTCATTAAAACCAGCTGTCAGTCACCCTTCACATGCGCATCCTATCTGTGAACTTCTGTCCTTCACCCAACTGTTGAAATCACACCATCTCTTCATCCAGAAAATCCAGAGGGAAAGAACAATCCAAGCAGACAACTTCTTGTAATCTAAAGAACAGCTATCGATCCGCTTAAAACAAACTCAGAGCATTTCTAAGTGAATCCTTTATGTGAACACTTCCTTGGGAATTCAACAACCTAGCAGAGAAGTTCCTTAATGAGAAATTATGGAGCAAATAATTATTGTTCCAAAATCGACAGATACACAGGGCACAGTTGCCTCTTCATTTCAGTTCCTTTCATCTACGCATCTGTATATATTTCAGATCCAGAATAACCTGGGAATCAAGATGGCTGACTCCAGGTCAAACTTCTTGTGAGACCCACAAATCACTTTACTTCTTGGGGTCTCAGTTTCCCCTTCCATGACACTGAAAAATGCTACTTTAGACTATCCTCATGAAAAACGGATTATGATATTCAACAAACAGATATGGATTGTCCATTCTCTGAGCTACTGCTTTATCACAGTTTTGAAAGGAATAACTTGTTTGGATCCCAGACACAAGACTACCATCAGTAAACTAAAACTTAGCAGCGATTGTAAAAGAGGTGATTTTATTTCCACAGAACCCTAATTTTCTCCCAGGGAGTAATAACATTGAATATGGCACTTCAGCCTTTAAAAAGAGGGCCTCAGCTTTAACGAATTGCAGCAAATTTATACTCATGAAAGAAGTGCGATGCCGTGTAATTTTCACTTAAATCCCCATTTTTTTCTCATTAGGTCTTTTCATTTAGATTGGGGCCTCTGTGCATGCACTAATGTTTCCCATTGAAATGTAAAATGGTTATCTGGGTGATTTTGTGCTGTGTAATAATGTAAATAGTGATATTTTCTAAATTAAATTAGGATATATGGTCTGAAAAGTCCAGATCGACTTACAGAGACACAGGGACAAAAATTTATAATTGAAGGGAGATATGCTAAATAGCACAAGAGCAGGTTCCAGATCTATTGAATTCTCTTTGGGATAATGGAATATCACTGGCTCATCGTAGTCTAAAGTGTACTAGCTTTCTCCAAAAATTTCAACTTCATGTTTTGTCTACTTATAATTGTGCCAGAAAATTTAGTCACACATTTATCTAATCATTGCCTCTATAAAAATGGCCATTATCATGACGGAATCATTTTACAGAACTATTTTAAACTTCAGCCTATAAAGTTCCTGCCTCACTTGACCACTTCAGCTCATTGCTTCAGCCATGGTGAAGACACCACATGAAGCTCTTTCCTTCCTCCATGCCTTTGTTCATGCTGTTCCCTCTGCCTGAAGTCCCCTCCGCCTTCCCTCCTGGCTTTATTCAACCCACTAGTCCCAGCTCATTGATCATCTCCTTCAGCAGGGTTCAATGTTAGGTCCCCATAACACCTTTTAGCATATTTCTCTTTGAGCCCTTATCACATTGATAATCCTGTCTCTCTCATGGAATTGTCAGAAGCCCTAGAGCTATCTATCCATCTTCAAGTCTTTAGTTACTAAGAGAACGTCTATCCCATGGTAAGCTCACAATAAATGTTTTTGAAATATATGAAAGGAGGTAGTCTTATCTATTTCTATGTTTTTACATAATGTGGACTTCTTTTTGCTTTTCTTGATCTTATAATTCACCATAAAGCGTATGCAGAGAACATGGAAGTAGAGGATTAGAAAATCTGGATCAGGGCCTGCAAAGAGACAAGCACTGAGCTAAAATCCAGATTGATTGTTTTCCTAATGTTGCTTTTTATTACCACGCAGCTTTCATCTTATGACCCAGTGCTATTATCAGGTATAAATTTAAAGTGATTTAAGAAATTTCATCATCTATTTTAGTCATAGTTTTGCAGAGTCACCATCTTGGGCACATGAATGTCTGTGACAAAGAGAGTCAAGTCGAGAGTCCCAATCTCCCACTTACTGACCTACTCTAGGTAAATTGCCTAGACTCTCTGTGCCCCAAGTTCCTCCTGTGAAATGCGATAGTCGTGTCTACTTCACAGTGTTGTAGGAAATACACGAATTCCTGTTCTGTAAAGGGCTTGACATGGGACTTGGCAGTAGGTCACACTATAAGTGGAATCTGGAACTTTTGGATGATAACTCAGTGGGGCAGGAAATAGTCTGGCAGCCAGGTGGGCAGAGTTCTACTAGAAAGAATTGAGTACTGCTTAAATCAAGTACCTCAAAGAGGCAATCTCGCCCGTGTTGAAAACTGCTTGGACTTATGGCCCCTCAATGCTTTCTGCTCTGGGGATAAGATGAAAGGTTCTCGTCTGAGGATGACTGCAGTGTTGGCCAGCATGCCCAGAGGCATGGCATCCCCAGCCCTCCCTACATCATCTTAAGCTTGGAATTAATCAGAAAAAAGAAAAACAGTATGTAATTTTGGTCCCAAGATCCACCCATTAAAGGCATGTGATACTACACCTCTGACCCTTACTTGAAACTTTACTGACTCTGACACAGATTTAAGATAGAATTTTTAGTGAATTTCCTGAAATGATTCCCCGCCGTGCAAATTAAAAGAGATTATGAAAGGACTACTAGAAGAAAGGATAACTTGCTTCGAAAAGTGTTAACTGCCTGATATTAAAACAGAGACCTGGAAAATTAGACACAGAACAGTATTACTGTCCAGTATGATAATGGATGTTCCTGAGAAACCACTCTGAGTCATGTAAAAAAAAAAAAAAAAACATGGCTAAGTCATGTTCAATATCATTCTTTTCCAAAGGAAGGGAAATATGAAATACACTTTAAGGAAGATTTCTGTTCAAAAGTTTTGATTTCAGTGGTCTGCGGAGTTTACTTATGTGGAACACCTCATCCTCTGCCAAAGCCAAATAAATGAAGTGTCGCCGTATTTAGAGAATAAGGAAAGTGGAACATTTGTTGTAATAATGTTAATCTTTTTTTTATACTTGTTAAGAACAACTATAAAGCTGGCTTTTTTTCCCCAAAAAGATTATGGAGGAGAAAGCTCAACTATACTGTGAGCTTCTTGAGGAACAGAAGCATTTTATTTTCGTTTACCAGGTCTAGATCAGGACCTGGCGCTCAGAGGTTGTTTGTTTCGGGATAGAGAAATGGATAGATGCTGGGGAGCATGATGCTCATGGATATGTAACTGATTCTATGAATTACAAAAAGCCAAATCAAGTTCTAGTCTCACTTCTGCAACTATCGATTTGGGGCAAAGCTTTCACATCTCTGAGCTTCATTTCCCTCATCTGTAAAATGAAGAGGTTGGACTAGATAATTTTATAAAGCCCCTCCCAATTCCAAAAGCCTATGATTTTATAGAAAAAAAAATCAGCTATTTTATGCATCTGACATAATTGAAAGCCTCAACTAAGTGATGTAGATCAATACACCAAATAGCAAATTTCACTTGCAGGACATTGGTATTCTTGGAATACAGTTAGCATCCTTTTGGCTTTGTCTAAAGCATATACTATGCAGCCAAAATGGCTTGTCCACTTTTTCTTTTTTTTTTTTGGAATGAAAAGATTTGTGCCTCCCACATGTAGGGCTTGGTGTATTGTGAACGGTAGCCTACACATACGCAAATGAGAACTGGGAAGATAATTAAATCTGAGGTGGAAATAGAGTAGACTTGTGAATGAACAAAGGAAGTATGTTTCTCTGGAAGCCAAGATGTCAAAGATACATTTGACTGGTACTGTACACTTTTAGCTTTCATGTAAATCAGTATTTAGCAGCTTCAAATGTTCTAACTCTGCATTTCTGAGGAATCCATTGTATATATTAACTGTGGAGATGTCAGGCATTTTAAATTCCAAAGTTATAGAGATTCATGGACATGCGTGATGCTATACTTCAAGAATTGAATGGTCAAAATGCACTTTACTTTTGAGCTAAAAGTAAGAACAAAACAGATTCATTTCTAAGACTTTGTCTCTAAACCTGGGCTTCTATTTTTTCTTTTTCCTCAGAAAGTAACCATGAAACTAAAACAGGGAAAATGCAACTAAAGGATTCTGAAATGCTTCTTTACTGCATACTTTTCCAATGGCTCAGTTTTGGCAAACTAGCTCCAGACCCTACCACTATCCAAGCTCCCACTGTCCTTCTTATGACTCACACTCACACTTGAGTGCTAAAAGGCTGCTCTGTGGCTGCAGGGATGCTCCGTCAGAACAAACATAAGCTGAAAGCGCACCCAAAAGTCATTTGGTCCAATCCTCTTGTATTACATAGATGGAAACTGAGGTCCCGGGAGGTGACGTTATTCACACAAAGTAACACAGCAAGTCACACAAGTCTCTTGATTTCTAAGCATTGCTCTTTTCATAGCCACATTGATCCCAGCAAATAACATCAAACAAGAGAACCAGACCCTTGAAAAGCAACAACAACAGGGTTATAGCACTATTACTTTTTTTCATATGAGCATCTTTCACCTTCTCACATTGTTGCTTTTGTCTTGTCAGTTTCTTGTAAAAAGATGACTTACTGCTTGGAAATTCAACTTGGCATTTTCTTTAGACAAAGTGATCTTTTAAATGTAGCCAACATTTCTTTTGGAGTATGACTCCATTTCACATAACACATCCTAAGATTGATGTTTACTAAGTTGGTTGTTTAAATCATGTTCAGAGCTTGGTTACATGGGCTGTTTCTTTGTCTCTCTCTCTCCCTCTCTCTCCTTTTTCTTTGTGCTTCACACAAAAGGATGGGGCCCCCAGGATCATCTGGAAATGGATCAGTGTATTCAT